GTTTTTGGTGGTCTAAGTGCATAAAGGCCACATTTGTGGGGTCTAGGTGCACGAGTCCCACAGGGGTGGTCAAAGAGTGCATGAGGGGCCACAGAGTGGTCTAGAGTGCAGGGTTTGCCAGGGGTTGTGGGGTCAAAGTGAAAGGATTGCCACATTTTTGTGGTGGCCTGGGGAGTGCGGGAGTGCCACAGTTGTGATTTTCTAGAGTGCATGAGTGCCATTTTTTGTGGGGGGTCTAAAAGTGCTTTGAGTGCCACAGTTGGGGGTGGTTTTGGGAGTGCATGAGTCCACATTTTTTGGTGACTGAGTGCATGGTGCCCATTTTGGGGTTGTTCGGGGAGTGCATGATTTGGCCACAGTTGCGCGGGGTTTCTGATGCAGGGTTGCCACAATTTAATGGGGGGGTTAAAAGTGCATGAGTCCCACAGTTGTGGGGGGGAAAAAACCAGGGGCATGAGTGCCCCCAGTTATGGTGGCCCCAAAGGAGTATAAAGGGCCACATTTTGGTGGTCTAAAATTGCTTTGTCCCCAAAGTTGTGGGGGGTCTAGAGTGCATGAGTCCCACGGTTTGGCTAGAGTGCATGAGTGCCAAAGTTGTGGTGGTTTTTAGAGTGCAGAGTCCCAAGTTGCGCGGGTCTAGAGTGCATAAAGTGCCACAGTTGCCTGGTCTAAGTGAAATGAGTGCCCAGTTATGGGGGGCTAGAGTGCTGAGTGCCACAGTTGTGGGGGTTTCTGGGAGTGCAGAGTGCTACAGTTGGGTGTGGTCTAGAGCGCATGAGCCACATTTGGTGGCTAGAGTCCCGTGGAGTCCCCAAAAGTTGTGGGGTTTCAAAGTGCAGGATGCCACAGTTGTGGTCTAGGGGTGCTTTGGTGGCACAGTTTTTGGTGGTCAGATTGAAAGAGTCCCCGGGATTGGGTGGTTAGTGTGCGTAAAGTGCCATTTTTTTTGGTGGTTTAGAGTGCGTGAGTGCCACATTTGGGGTTTGATTTTGAGTCCCTTTAATCCCACATTGGGGTTTTTCTAGAGGGCATGTTGCCACATTGTGGTGGTCGGGAGTGCTTGAGGGGCCATAGCTGTGGGATCTGAGTGCGGGGAGTGCCACAGTTGGTGGGGGTCTAGATGCGTGATGCCATTTGGGGTGGCTGGGAGTGCATGATTTGCCCCCAGTTGTGGGGGGTCGGTGCACTGTCCCACACGTTGTGGCTGGGAGTGCATGAGGCCACAGTTGGTCAAGAGTCCCTTTGGGGGTGCCACAGTTTTGGGTGGTTAGAGTGAAATAAAGTGCCACAGTTGTGGGGGTCAAGAGGGGCATGAGTGCCACATTTTGTGAGGGTTTTGGGAGTGAAATGAGTGCCACGGTTGGGTGGTTAGAGTGAAATGGGCCCCACATTGTGGTTTTTTTTAAGTGCATGAGTGCCACATTTTGGGGGGGATTTTAGGGTGCTTTAGTCCCCACAGTTGTGGTGATTAGAGTGAATGAGGCCACTTTTTTGGCGCTGGTTAAAATTTGAAATTGTGCCACATTTAAAAAGGGGGGCTAGAGTGCATGAGTGCCACAGTTGTGGTGGTCAAAGTGGGGGTTTTGCCACAGATTATGGTGGTCTAGAGTGCATGAGGGGCCACAGTTGTGGGTCTAGAGTGCATGATCCCAAGTTGTGGGGGTTTCAAGAGTAAAAATGGGGCCCAAACAGTTTTTGGTCTAAGTGCAAAAGTGCCACATTTGTGGGGGTTTAAGGTGCAGGGAATGCCACAGTTGCGTTTGGCAAGAGTGCTTTAAATTGCCACAGTTGGGGGGGGTCTAGAGGCATGGGGTGCCACAGTTATGGGGGGTTTAAGTGCATGATTCCCACTTTGTGGGGGGTCTAGATGGCATGGTGCCACTTTGTGGGTGGTCAAAGAGTGCATGAGTGCCACTTTTGGGGTGGTTAGAGTGCAGGGAAGTGGCACAGTTGTGGTCTAGAGTCATGGTCCCACAGTTGTGGGGTCTAGAGGCATGAGTGCTACGGGTTGCGCGGTCTAAGTGCATGAGTGCCACATTTGCGCTGGGCCCGGGAGTGCATTCGTCCCACTTTATGGGGGCCCCAAGAGGGGGCATGAGTCCCAACATTTGGGGCGCTGGTCTAAAAGTGCATGATGCCACATTTAAAGGTGGTCTAGAGGCTTTAAATGAAACATTTGCGCTGGTCTAGAGTGCATGAGTCCCACATTTATGGTGGTCTAGATGCATGTTTCCCACAGTTGTGGTGGCTAATGCTTTAAAGTGCCACAGTTGGGGGGTTTTCTGGGTGGGGGAGTGCCACAGTTAGGGTTTGGTCTAGGTGCCTGAGTCCCATTTCCCCTGGTTAGGGCTGAGTGCCAAAAGTTAGGGGGTGGACAAAGAGTGCATGAGGGGCCACAGTTGTGGGGGTCTAAGTCCCTGATTTTGCCACGGGTTTGGGTTTGGTCAAGAGTGCGTGAGGCCCGGTTTTTGGTGGTCTAGAGTGCTGAGTGCACATTTTGGGGTTTGGGTCGGGATTTCATGGGTGCCACATTGGGGTGGTTAGAGTGCATGAGTGCCAAGTTGTGGTTTTTCTAGGTGCATGAGTGCCAAATTTGGTGGTGGTCAAAGATGCGAGTCCCACAGTTGGGGGTGGTCTAGAGTGCGTGAGTCCCACAGTTGTGGTGGTTTTAAGTGGGGTGGTCCCACGGGTTTGGTGGTCTAGAGTGCATGAGTCCCTACAGTTGTGGTGGTCTAATTTCATGAGGGGCCACATTTGTGGGGTTTTAGAGGGCGTGATTTCCATTTTGTGGTGGCCCTAGAGTGCATGATTTCCACATTTTGTGGTGGTTTTGGGGTGCATGAGTGTACAGTTGGGGTTTGGTCTAAGTGCGTGGGGGGCCACAGTTGTGGGGGTTTCCTAGGGGTGCGTGAGGCCCCCTTTTTGTGGTGGTCTAGAGTGCATGAGTGCCACAGTTGTGGGGGGTCGGGGGGGGAATGAGTCCCTAAAGTTGTGGGGGGGTTCTAGAGTGCGTGAGTGCCACGTTGGGTGGTCAAATGCAGGAAGGGCCACATTGTGGTGGTCTAGATGCATGAGTGCCCCCAGTTGGGTGGTCTAGAGTGCAGAGTGCCACAGTTGTGGGGGTTAAAAGTGAATGAGTGCCACATTTGGGGTGGTCAAAGGAGTGGGGAGTGCCACTGTTTGGGGGGTTAAGTGGGGTAAAGTCCCCACTTTTGGGTGGTCTAGAGTGCGTGGTGCCCCATTTTTGTGGGGGTCAAAAGTGCATGGGGTGCTACAGTTGGGGGGTCTAGGAGTGCATGAGGGGCCAAAAGTTGTGGTGGTCTGAGTGCGTGGGTTGGCCACAGTTGTGGGGTTTCTAGAGTGCATAAATTGCCACATTTGTGGGGGGTTTTAGGGGTGCATCAGTGCTACATTTGTGGGGGTCTAGAGTGCTTGATTTGCCACAGTTGTGGTGGTCTAGAGGAAATAGTGCCACGTTGGGGTGGCCCTAGAGTGGGTAAATTCCCCACAGTTATGGGGGTTTATTGAGTGCCAGTGCCACGGGAAGGGATACTCCCCTTCCCACTGGAAATTCAATCTATTTTTTCACTTCTTTTTGGGGGGTACGTAGTTGTTTACTTTTTAATCTTCAATCTGGGCTTACCCGGGACGATTTCCCCGAAAATTTTCTTCTCCCGTGGGCCCTTTGGAGTCAGGCCTATACTTCTTTTTTTGATTAAAAAGGTAGTTTTAAAAATTAATTGCCATTATATTCACCCCAGTTTTTTGTCACTAAAGTCTTTTTGTTCTGTTGTCTCTTTTTTGGGCTCTGTTTTTTCGGGTTTGTTTCGGTTGGAGCTTGCTGTTCTTTTTTGTTTTCGGGTTGGGACTCTGCGGGTTTTTGTTGTCTCTTTTGGAGCTCTGCTTTTTGGGTTGTCTCTGTTGGGCTGTGCTGCTTTTTTTCCCCTGTTGGAGCTCGCTTTTTCGTTGTCTCGTTGGCCCCTTGCGGGTTTCTGTTTTCTCTTTTGGGCCCGCTCTCTGTTCGTTACTCTTTTGGGACCTTTGCTGTTCTTTGTCTCTGTTGGGCTCTGTTATTCTTTTGGGATGGGGGTGGAGCTCTGTTTTTTTTTGTTGTTGTGGAGCTCTTTTTTGTTCTGTTGTTCTTTTGGGTTCTTTGTCTGTTGGGCTCTCTTTTTCTGGTTTTTCCTTTTTGGGGCTTTTATTGTTCTTTTTGTCTCTTTTGGGAGCTTGCTTTTCTGTTGTCTCTTTTGGACTCTGCTGTTTTTTTGGCCCTCTTTTGGGGCTTTTTTTTTTGTTTTCTCTTTTGGACTTGCTTTTTGTTGCCCTCTTTTAAAGCCCCTCTGCTTTTCTTTTTGTCTCTTTTGGCGCTTTGATGTTCTTTTTTTGTCCTGTTGGAGCTCTGCGGTTCTATTGTCTCTTTTTTGGAGCTCGGGTTTATTCTGTTGTATGTGGGGGAGCTCTTTTTATTCGGGTTGTATATGGTGAAGCTCTGTTGTTCTGTTGTCTCTATTGTTCTTCTGTCTCCGTTGGAGCTCTGTTGTCTCTGTTGGAGCTCTCTTGTTCTGGTGTTCCTGTTGGGGCTCTGTTGTTCTGTTGTCTCAAGCTTTGTTGTTCTGTTGACTCTGTTGGGGCTCTAATGTTCTGTCTCTTGTCTCAGTTGGAGATCTGTTGTTCTGTTGTCTCTGTTGGAAATGTTGTGTTGTCTCTGTTAGAGCTATTTTGTTCTGTTGTCTCTGTTGGAGCTATTTTTTTTATGTTGTCTCTGTTGGAGCTCTGCAGTTCTGTTTCTGTTGGAGCTCTGTTGTTCTGTTATCTCAAGCTTTGTTGTTCTGTTGACTCTGTTGGGGCTCTAATGTTCTGTCTCTTGTCTCAGTTGGAGATCTGTTGTTCTGTTGTTCCCGTTGTACCTCTGTTGTTCTGTTGCCTGTGTTGAAACTGTTGTAACACTGACTAGTGTATTTGTAAGCAGTTGTTTGTATGTGTGTATATGGAAGTATCTATACTTGTGTATTTTGTATGAATATATATTTATGTTGGTATAATAAATTAAGTTACTTTTATCTCTGACAGGGTGACCTGAGCAAAGCTGACTCCAGAGCTGTCTTCTTCACCGTCCATGACATGGGCAGCAACCGTGAGTGTCTGGCACCCTGTATGGCACCCCTCCCTCCTTGTGGCACCCATCACACACAAGCTGGTGTGTCTGGCACCATGTATGGCACCTCTCCCTCCTTGTGGCACCCATCATACACCAGCTGGTGTGTCTGGCACCCTGTATGGCACCCCTCCCTCCTTGTGGCACCCATCATACACCAGCTGGTGTCTAACACCCTGCATGGCACTTTGTATGGCACCTGTCACCTAAACTGAGTACAGTGGTCCCTCGATTATCGACGGTAATCCGTTCCTGGAAGCCGGTCGATTATCGAAATGGTCGATTTACGAATCAATTTTCCCCATAAGAAATAATGTAAATTCAATTAATCCGTTCCTGACACCCAGAAGTATTAAAACAAAAAATTTTTTACATGAAATATTCATGTAGTACATAAACAATACAATGGGAAATGATGAATGAAACATTAACAGCATAACACTTACCTTTATTGGAGATTCTTCTTAGTGTATGGGAGACTGGAGGAGGAGAGAGAGTGGATTGTTTATAGTTTGGAAGGGGAATCCCCTTCCAGCAACACCTCAGGTACCATTTGCTTTTTCTGGGGTTGCTTCTTTTCTCTGTTTCTTAATGCCACTAGGACAGCTTGAGAGTCACTGGAGTCCTGTCTCGCAAAATAACTGTGCAGAGAGCTCTGTTTTGGCGTCTCTCTAAAACTTCCCTAAAATGGGCCAAGACTCTGTCACTGTACAAGTTGCCGATATGGCTTGCAACATCCTTCTCTGGGTGATGTTTCTCCATAAATCTTTCCATCTTACCCCACATAGTAAAAATCTCCTTAATTTCTGAAGAAGGCACCTTCTTCCATCTCTCTTCCTCCTCCTCTGCAGCAAGATTCTGAGCTGCGATCTGTTGCTCTTCCTGCTGAAGCTCTTGCAGCTCCTCAGTGGTTAGCTCTTCGTTGTGGTCCTCCACCAACTCTTCCACATCCTCCAAACTCACATCCAACCCCATGGAACTCCCCAGTGCCACATTAGAGTTCAAAACTGACATAGGCTCATCAGGGTCAGCCCCAAACCCTTCCAAATCCCTCTTGTCGACACAATCTGGCCACAATTTTCTCCAAGCAGAGTTCAAAGTCCTGGTAGACACTCCCTCCCAAGCCTTACCTATAAGGCTTACACAATGGAAAATACTGAAATGTTCTTTCCAAAAATCTCGTAGGGTCAAGTGAGTGTCTGAGGTCACATTGAAGCACCTTTCAAACATTGCTTTGGTGTACAGTTTTTTAAAGTTTGCAATGACCTGCTGGTCCATGGGTTGGAGGAGAGGAGTGGTATTCGGGGGCAAGAACTTTACTGAGATGAACCCAAACTCCTTCAGAATTAGGTCATCCAAGTTTGGTGGATGAGCAGGTGCATTGTCCATTACTAGCAGGCACTTGAGATCCAATTTCTTCTCCAGGAGGTAATTCTTCACACTAGGGCCAAACACTTCGTTGAACCACTCTACAAAAATTTCCCTCGTGACCCATGCCTTATTATTAGATTTCCAAAACACACACAATTTACTCTTCATAACATTATTTTTCTTAAATGCTCTGGGATTTTCAGAATGGTACACTAGTAACGGCTTCACTTTGAAATCCCCACTAGCATTAGCGCAGAACATTAGCGTCAGCCTGTCTTTCATAGGCTTGTGTCCTGGCATTGACTTTTCCTCTTGTGTAATGAAGGTCCTCTTTGGCATTTTCTTCCAGAAGAGGCCTGTTTCGTCACAATTGAACACTTGTTCAGGTTTCAGTCCTTCAGCCTCTATGTACTCCTGGAATTCATGCACATATTTTTCAGCCGCCTTGTGGTCCGAACTGGCAGCCTCACCATGCCTTACCACACTGTGTATGCCAGTATGCTTCTTAAATCTCTCAAACCAGCCTTTGCTGGCCTTAAAATCACTCGCTTCACCACTATTTGCAGGCAATTTATTTACCAAATCTTCATGCAACTGCCTAGCCTTTTCACAAATAATCGAGGTCATAAGACTGTCTCCTGCTAATTGTTTCTCATTTATCCACACCAATAATAACTTCTCAACCTCTTCCAGTACTGGTGATCTCATTTTTGTCAGCATATTTACCCCCTTTGCAACAACAGCGTCCTTGATTTCCTTTCTCATGGCTATGATGGAAGATATGGTTGAATGATTTTTGTTATACATCCTCGCCAGTTCGCCCACACGTACGCCACTATCATATTGTTCAATGATGTTTTTCTTAAATTCAATGGTATTTCTCACCTTCTTTACCAAAGGTTTGGCACTAGGAGCTTTCTTTGGAGCCATGGTAGCTTATTTAGCACTTAAATAACTTGCAAGCACTAAAATAAATGAAATATGAAATATTTCACTGGAGCACGTGAGAGGACCGCCGCTAACTGGTAAACAATGGTACACTGGCTGGGAAGGAAGGCTGAGGAGGGTCGAGGCCCGCTTACCTCGTGCATACGCGTCTGGGACGGGGTCGAGACGGGTCGATAAATGAATTTCGGTCAATTTCCGAGTCAATATTTTGTCGAAAAAACCGGTTGATTTCCGAAATGGTCGACTTTCAGGCCGGTCGATTATTGAGGGACCACTGTACTAACTTTAGCTCTCCATCAGTCTTCCCAACAAGAATGAATCCCTTCCACTAATCCTCAATCTCTGCTCTTTCCACAGCCCCTCCCCTCCCCACCTGTACACCACCCCCTGCCACTATCTCTGCACCACCCCCTGCCACTATCTCTGCACCACCCCCTGCCACTATCTCTGCACCACCCCCTGCCACTATCTCTGCACCACCCCCTGCTCCTGTCTCTTAAGCTTATGTCTACACACCTCCCCATCCTTGCAGTCCCCTTGAGCCATGAAAAAAAAACCTACCCCCCTCCTTCAACAACCCTTCCTATAGTGTGACTTTGAAATGGTCCAAGTCGGAAACCGAAACGTCGTGGTAAACTCCTCTCTCCTATGTGCGAGTTATTTTTTGTATTGTTCCAGTCACGGTACTGTGTCCTTTTGTTTTTCAAGCAGAGGATATAGTCAACATTATGACAGTCAAAGGAATTGACGAGAATGTAAACAAGAATTCCGCAGTATTTCCCGCAGGATATTAAATCTATGGAGAAAATAAGTGGTTGGCAGTGGGACTTATTTGGGCAGGAAGTAGTGGTGGTCTGAGGAACTGGACGAGTAAAATGAACCCCACTGATTATGTGGCAGCAACTACTAATGTTCATACTTCCACTAAACAGCATGTGACTGAAACAGGAACTTGAAGACAAAACACAGGATCGTGAAATCAAATCAAGGAACGGGTGGGAGTTGAACCCATGGCCTTTGAGTCTTTAAAACTCCCAGGCCATTGTAAGTACCTATAATACAGACGCTATTGACAATTTACCACCAAAGAGCATGCGACTAAGACGGGAACATGGAGGCGGCAAGATGATCATGTACTGGCCAGGCCAGTACACTCAACTAAGAGTCCACATTACTCAACATCTTACCAGAAGACGTCAGCAACGCTGCTGGAACAAGTATGGAAGTTTTCAAGAGGAAACTAAACAAGTATCTTACACCAGGTGCCAGATCAACCAGTCAGTGGTAGATATGTGGGTCATCGGGCCACCAGCAGTAACAGCCTGGACTAGACAAGCCTGGCCCATGGCCGGGCTCTGGCAGCAGAAAAACTCTCTCAACTCATTCAAGATATCAAAAGTAGAGGTATATCTCATTCAGTGTGACCTTCACTTAAATAAACATAACATTCAGTGGAGAAACTGAGAAATAAATTCCACTGAGGAAACACGAAAATAAGGTAACTGATAAATGATGATACATGATAAACTCTTCCTACAAAAAATGGTTGACAATTGGCTGGGAAAAGATGATATAATTGACATATCTTATGAAAAGATCTTCCTTGTAGCTGCTGTGAGACTGAACACAAGATCTTCCTTGTAGCTGCTGTGAGAATGAACACAAGATCTTCTTCGTAGCTGCTGTGAGACTGAACACAAGATCTTCCTCGTAGCTGCTGTGAGACTGAACACAAGATCTTCCTTGTAGCTGCTGTGAGACTGAACACAAGATCTTCCTTGTAGCTGCTGTGAGACTGAACACAAGATCTTCCTTGTAGCTGCTGTGAGACTGAACACAAGATCTTCCTTGTAGCTGCTGTGAGACTGAACACAAGATCTTCCTTGTAGCTGCTGTGAGACTGAACACAAGATCTTCCTTGTAGCTGCTGTGAGACTGAACACAAGATCTTCCTTGTAGCTGCTCTGAGACTGAACACAAGATCTTCTTTGTAGCTGCTGTGAGACTGAACACAAGATCTTCCTTGTAGCTGCTCTGAGACTGAACACAAGATCTTCTTTGTAGCTGCTGTGAGACTGAACACAAGATCTTCCTTGTAGCTGCTGTGAGACTGAACACAAGATCTTCCTTGTAGCTGCTGTGAGACTGAACACAAGATCTTCATTGTAGCTGCTCTGAGACTGAACACAAGATCTTCTTTGTAGCTGCTGTGAGACTGAACACAAGATCTTCCTTGTAGCTGCTGTGAGACTGAACACAAGATCTTCCTGTAGCTGCTGTGAGACTGAACACAAGATCTTCTTGTAGCTGCTGTGAGGCTGACACAAGATCTTCCTTGTAGCTGCTGTGAGACTGAACACAAGATCTTCCTTGTAGCTGCTCTGAGACTGAACACAAGATCTTCTTTGTAGCTGCTGTGAGACTGAACACAAGATCTTCCTTGTAGCTGCTGTGAGACTGAACACAAGATTTCCTTGTGCTGCTCTGAGACTGAACACAAGATCTTCCTTGTAGCTGCTGTGAGACTGAACACAAGATTTCCTTGTAGCTGCTGTGAGACTGAACACAAGATCTTCCCTTTTAGCTGCTGTGAGACTGAACACAAGATCTTTCCCTTTTAGCTGCTGTGAGACTGAACACAAAAATCTTCCTTGTAGCTG